ACACAAAAAAACCAGGAAAAAACACATAAAACTGAACAATTTCAAATATCTTGGTGTATAACAAAAATAACACCAATCCTGGGAGAGAGAATTCAGTATATGCCTACTTGCATAGCATTTGTGGCAGTTGTTTGTGCCAATACATATTTGAGTAATAAAATAAGAATTAATTCTAGTCTAATTATCAGCAATATGAAGTAAACATATTTTTCAGGTAATAAACTCACTCATTTTTATTACAGGTGGCTCAATCAGCCCAACATCCTTTAAGGTTAACATCTGATAAAAAGTAACTTATTCTGTCTGTACATATGCATATTCAGTTATGCGGGGATTAAAATTAGCCACTGAGTTTTAGAAATGTAATCACAGGTAGAGGGAATGTCCCCACTTGAATACGCCATCTAAAATGATGTTTTCTTACTGGATATCTTATTAAAGGGTCAAGAAGGCTGTGAATCTATAAATAGATAGATCCCCTGATTATCAACAGAGAGGGTAAAACTCTAAGCATTTTAGCCTTTGCATTTGGTGGTAACTGATTATCCCCTTAATCCCTGCAGCCTAGCAGCTCAATAGATGTCTATTTTTAGTCATTTAAATTTGCTCTTTAACAATATTTAAGGATATATTGGGTTGTTGGAAAAGTCATGATGCATTTTTGCAACAAAAAGCATAGAAAAAATACATCATGACTTTTCCAACAACCCAATAGTAGCAATATGCTGTGACACTTTAACTAGTTCTTATAAAGGATACAAGAGGAAAAATGTGTCCAGATCAAGTAGGTTCTACAAAGTGCATAGGCTGATATCTAAACATCTTCAAGGCAATAAGTATATGCAAATTTTAAGCCTTAAGATTTAAGTCACTTGGCTTCAGAAATCCTCTTTTCCCTTTTCTTGCCCTCTGATATACCTTTGTTCTATATAGCTCACAATACATTTTTTTTTTCTTTTTCAAAATGCTGGACTGTCATAGGCCAAAGATTTGGAGTAAGGGATTATTGCTTTAGAATGCCATTTTCAATCTTAAAGTTGAATTAGCCATTATATTATAAGATCAGAACCTGGTATGCTACATCTACGTAAGCTAAAAGGCTAGTTAAGAGAGAATTTAATGCTGCAAAGAGCTTGACTTCCTTATTCCATTATGATCTGCTTGCTGAGTCTAAAAGGCACATGCTTCATTAAGCTACTTAAAGGTTTTAGTTCAAAGCAATTGCAAAGCTTTTAACTTCCCATTGGAAATTGAATGAAATTCATGGGCTGGTAAAGTAATATTTCAATTATCTGAGTAAAATGAAAGCATAAGAAATTAAGATACAACCATCTGACATGAATAACTCTACTGATGATTATTTTGGTGACAATAATGATAAAGAGAAACCAAATACCATGTTTTCCTCTATCTTCCAGTACCTCTAGGAAACTTAAAAAGAAAAACTGACAGGGAAATGTTTATGTTCACCAATTCATTGCACTACTAAATATATAGGCTTTGATAAACATTGAAACTTAAGGAAATTGTAAATTGTTAAATCTTAACAATTTAATTTGAAATTAAGTGAGCAGTACATATGAATACATTACAAAGAAATAATTTTGCTAAGTAGCTTGGACACCTGATATCACTTTGAGGTTCTAAATTTTTGATAGATAGTACCTCCATATGTAAGGCAAATTAGCTTTTTCCATATGGTTCATGACAAGCAGTAAGAAAGAAAAAACTTTAAGTAAATGACTGTTGTTCATTAAGAGTTCATCCCACACTCATTATAAACATGTCTGTCTTAAATTATGTATACATGACTATGCAAAACTGAATTGGGAAGTATTGCTTGGTGAATTTGTACTTTGGTTTCCATGGAAACAGTTGCTGGATTACTTCTCTTTAAGGCTGGTTTTAAAGTGGAAAACTAAAGTACATTAATATCCCAGAAATTAAAAACTTAATATGTATCATAGATTTTTTAATCTGTTGCGTTTTTAAAACAGCAGTTCATAGCATGCCCACATACCACATGTATTGTATCTTTTATTTATATTGAATTTCTTGATTCTCCCTTTCCATCCCTCCACCCACCTTTGCAGTAGAATAGCTTAAGAATCAAGGTCTTTCCTTATTTCACTTTGCATCCTGAACATATGACACAGGTTCCAGCTGATGCTCTTATTTAATAAAAGCATTTTGTATGAATGAAATAGCATAATACAATCTATTTTCTCCTTTTAGTTGTAAAAAAAAGTGAGCTTTGGTGTCAGACTAAATTCATGTGTTCGAATCTTGAATTCAATAGGTAGCTAGCTGCATGACCCACAGGTCAACCATATAAACTTTCTATATCTCATTTTCCATATTAAATGGGGGATTGTAAACCCCAAAGCCATGGAGTTGTGACTTTTAAATGATATAATTGTCATAAAGCATCTAGAATAGTACTTGACATAGTAAGAAATCAATAAATGGTAGCTATAATAATGACAATAACTATACTGGTGCTGCTGCTACTTCTCACCAGGCGTGGTGCTAGATGCTCTGTATCTCCAATCATCTCTATGACCCTGTATGATTATCTTCCTGCTGCTGACAGGTGCCAGAAAGGATACCTAGTGCCACTCAACTGTAAACTCTGAGGTCAGGATTCAAACCCTCCTCTGCTTGACTCCAAGGCCTGGGATTTTTTTCAATACACTATACTGCCTTTTTTGGATGGTTCAAAAAACCCCAAAGGTACAAACTCTCTTTTTCAAAGCTTTTCCAACTATTTTTATCAATTAAAATATGGCCACCTGATCCATCACAGAAGATAGCTAATTCAAAGTCAGTAGGTTGTACAAATACATTTGCTCACACTATACTCTATTTTTACTTTTTCAGAAAGTCAATTAATTAAGTTTCCTTGATGTAGTGCAGAAAAGCATAAAACTGGATTTTTAACATGGAAGTAAACATCTCTATTCTGTTTCAGAAACCTACGTCTCAGGAGTTGCCTAGGCGGCCCCAGAGAATTTCCAAAAATGTCTCCTTTACTCATATATGTCTTGTTAAAGACCCTGATCATGTCTCCTTTTAGAAAAAGTAATCAAAGTTTACTCATTGGCTGGGTCCATTGACTATAGAAGGAAAACTACTATAATACAAGAATAAAACCTCCCTTTTTCTAAGGGTATTGTCAGGTTCACAATTGTTCAAACAAACTTTTCCGTAAAGAAATGAGAATATTAGATATTTTATTGGGGTTCTTCAGTAGAATTAGATTATAATAACTAGCATGCAAATAGTGTTCGAATTTAAAAAGCACTCTCAGACATTTTAGGCATTGAACATAAATACCTATTACACTGATGCTAACATGGTATATTATGTATTTGAAAGCAATGGCAACAAGCCTCCCACTCCCACCATAAAAACAAAATAAATGAATAAAACCCTGGGCACAGGTACTTGACAAAGTCACACCCAGAAAGTGGTACATTCAGTCTTATTACACACAAAACTTTGCACTACACTGTTCATATTTAAGGTTAAATATATGTAAAGTGAAAGGTTCTATAGTGATATTTACATGGTTAATGAGGAAGTGAAGATTTGACAAATAAAGCATGGATATGGCCAGAAAAATAGCCTTTCAGAGAAGTTTAGCTAGGGCTCCACTCGGCTTGAACTTTAATGTCTTTAATTATTTTCTAGTTAATCATAAGTAAATCTGTTTATGGATTAAAGTTACCAAGTGGGTAAAGTTACAGATTTTTTGGCAAATAAACCAAAAAATTATCAGCTCAAACTTCATAAATTTTTAGCTATCCTACTATTATGATGTAGAAAAATGACAATTTCAATGAAAGAACAAAATTAATACTTATTTTCAAAATGCATTAGATTATTGCTGTTGAAATACTTTAATTACAACCAGTGTTAAACTAGTTTTGATTCTCAAACCTAATCCCAATTAAGGTAGAAATTACCAATAAAGAGCATACAATTCATAAAAGAATAATTATTATTTTGAGCAACTAAATATATATTATGAATATATGTTTGTATAGTTGTGATGAAGCCAACTATGTATTTCTAAAGATAATGTATACAGGGGGTGCCAAAAAAGTGTATACACATTTTAAGAAAGGAAAAATCTGTATTAAAATTGTAATACAATGAATGACGTTAGCATTCATTTGATTAATGCCATCTTTTGAGTGAATGTCATACTACACATTGCTACTATAATTCAACTTTGAAAAATAATATAATACATAAATAACATATCTTAAAATGTGTACATTTTTTTGGCTACCCCCGATATTTTGGAAAAGAATGGTTCTCAGTGGGTCCACAAAGTCAATATAATTTTAATAATAACACTAAGATGTCACCTACAGTTTTCACCGTCACTTCTCATGAATGTACAAGGAGTCTTACAGAGACTACATGGTGTGTGGTATTACAGTAGATTGAATACCAAAACAGAGATTAACAATTCAGCTATCTTCTAATAGGCAGTTGGTGCAATGTACAAAACTATAAATGATGCTAATATTCTTACCATTTTATTTTGCTTTGGAAAATATTTGTCAAAAATCTTACTTACATTCACATGTAATGAATTATTTCATTATTTTAGTGAATTAATAAACAGTGTTTAAGGTTCTCAGTTTTAGTTTCAATCTTGTAAATATTAATAGTTCTACCCCCACATAAAAGCTCTTTCAGGTTCACAATAAAATTTAAGAGTGTAAGGTCCATAGGACCAAAAAGTTTCAGAGCTGTTGGTAAAGAAACAAGAAAACACTATTACTTAGTCTTAAATGATATCCTTACTTTTACAAATCCCAATGCTAAAGATCTTTATGCTCCTTGTAATATAAAGGTCATTAAAAATATATCTATTTAAATACCCTTGAAACATTTTATTCATAACATAAAAAAATACTGAGCCCTTAGAAATTGCTCCATTTGCAAAATATATTTATAACTTAACCAAAATAAATAATTCATACCTCACCAAGTGAGTAATAACGTCTTGGGATCTGGGAGTCCGGATAGATGTTTTCAAGGTACCAAGAAAAGGGCTTACACTTCAAATTTTCTCTTAATGATTTTCTGACTGACACATCTCCATAATCCACTTTGACCACACCTGGAATTTTTCAGAGAAACACATAAATCAGTTGGTGCTATTTTTCTTTCATCACTCTTTCACTCTGTTTATTTTGCTACCAGGTTTTTTTCTCTATAATTATAAATCCATCAAATTCAATTCTATACGCAGTTACGACTACATTGATTTTCTTGCTAACATCCAATGAGTACATTACATAGATATAAAAATTTTTTCCATGGGACATGACTTCAAATGCAAATATTTATCATCAAGTACTTACACTTCTTAGATTGAATAATTAATCAACTAAGTGCAAATTGGTATTAATTTAATATCTCATAATCAAAGCTTAACTGAGCTGTGTGACAATGTCGCTGTTTCTCTTTAATAAAAATTTCAATAGCGCCAACATTTTTGTTAATGCTCATAGTTTCCCTAGTGTCACTTATTTACCAACTGTAGATTTCATGAGGAATTTACTCTATAAATATGATCCTCACAATGTACATACCAGCACTTACACATTCTATTAATAACTTTCTCTTCTCCTTTGTCAACTTTTATTCTATCTAGCCTTACCACAGGCCTGATTTTTTCTTTACTGATTTTTTTCCCCTGTTTTATTTTATGATTTAATATAAGCCACCTTGAATCTTTGGATAAATTAGTGAATAAGCATAAAGAAATGAACATAAATAAATAAAATATACTCACAGGTATTAGCTTTACTTTACAAAATAACAGAACATATGAAATTAAAATAAATATTTTCATTGAAGATCATAAGATAATGCTTTCTAGTTGATATATAAAAACAATTATGCCACTAATTTTTATATAAAAAATATGGTGATATGATTTGCTCATTATCAATATTAAAAATGACATTTGGCTGAAATGACTAAATAACTGTGATAAGATTGCAGTTCTTTCTCAGATTATTTTGAAAAGGTCTCTCTTTAACATTTTTTAAAGACAGTAAGCAACTAGACTTTTGTGAAGAAAAAAACACCCAGTATTTAGTATATTCTATCCTAACCAAGCATCAATGCCCATCAATTATTCTGTAAAATAAGAAGCAATTATTTAGACAACCTAAATAAATGTCCGCAACGAATGCCATTATTTGGGTCACTATATATAAAAGCAGCAACACTCTTGAAGCCCATCACCTGATAATTCCACCCTCCCTGCACTGTCTCTTCAGAATTTTTGTTTTACAAAATCAAATGTTTTAGTGTTCTTATAAAGCGTTCTGATGATGCTTACATGGCCAAAACATTTCTTCCCAAGAAAATATTGATATTTCTAGCTGGTGTTTGGATAGAAAACTAAAAGGTCTAAGGGCATTTTAAACAGATATGTATTTGCTTTCAAAATGATTTTATCCCGAACCTCTGATCTGAAGTTCAACCTTCACATGAAAAGTCTAGAAAACATTTACAAAATAGATCACTAAAAGAATTTCTCTTTGTGTTAAGTGCTATGACAACTGAAACCATCTAAATGGTAGTCTTTAAAATCTTTTAAAGAGGTGCCATTGGGTCCAGAAAAAAAAGGCACTATAGCTTCAGAGGACTTAGTTCAACAGTTAGTTTTACTGTTCTGGTTTCATTATTGAGGTGGGTGATTTAATTGAGGTCATTTATTTCTATATCATTATTTTCTTTTTTTATCATGTTAAAATTTAGTAGACTGGGCTGCAGGATTTTTTTCCTAGAAGGGTTTTATGAGCAAGTTTTCTGATTGGAAGGAAGTTTGAAGTTTCATTTGCATATTATTTTTCATTAGATAAGAGAAAACGTTAATTTTGCCCTCATCATATTCGGCAAAGGGTAGCAAGTGGATAATGACAGAAATTATTGTGGAAAGCTAAATCCTTCTAACTCTACTATCTCTAAGCTACCCCTTGGCCTTAATACTGCAACTTGGGTTTTGTCCTCATCCTAGGTAATTACTTTAACTTATCTTTAGAAATGGTAAAAATACCTTGGGCTTATCTTAATATTTTGGGAAAGATGGGTTCTTCCTTCTCATCTATATTTTCTTACTTAGAAGTGAAATATTGTGTTAAGAGGTAGTAGTGCTCACCAAACAGTCCATGTAGCCCACATTTTCCAGGCCCCTGCATGGACGCAGGAACATCTATCTGGTCCTGACCACTGAACCGTGGGGGAAAGGGACATCTGTCAGTTCTGGTCTTAAAGATAGAAGAGCAGGTCTGACACCCACCAGCTTTGTTTTCCTTCAGTACAGCGACTGAGGTCTTGGACCCCAGTGGATGCAGCTATAATATGGCGATGTCTTTGCTGGCCTGTGTCAACGAGTGTATTCCAAACCTTATCTCCAAGCCCCTCTAAAGCAGTTTATACAATTGTTTACCCAACAATGTTACTGGTATCTCTAAGAGGCATCTCAAATTTGACAAGTCTAAAACAGTCCTCTTGAGTTTTCTACTTGCCCTATCTCCAATGTTCTTCATTTTAGTAACTAACACAAATATCTACCCATTGGCTCAGGGCAAAAATACAGGAGTCATTCTCTTTATCTCACATGCATATACTCAATTTATTAGCAATTTCTATTGGCAGTTGATTCACAAAATACCCCCAGCCCCTCCACCAACCCCTCTACCTCTCTCATCTCTTGCCTAGACTAGCATTGCAACAGCCTCCTAACTAGTCCCTCTGACATCTTACATTTTCCCATCTATCCCTTAACCACTATTGCCTGCTCCCTAGACAATATATTTTAAATATAAATAAAATCATGTCACTCCCCTGCTCCAAAGCTTCTAATGATTTTCCATGGTACTAGGAATAATTGACAACATTCTAACCATTGCTTAAGGTACTTCATGAACTGACTGTTGGCCATCTCTCTGAACTCGTCAGCTGTATTCACTTTATCATAGCCACACTAGCTTTTTGTTGTTTTTCTGTTATTTTATTTAATTTTATCTTTGCTTTTCTTCTAACATGCCAGGCGTTCCAATTCACGGATTTGTACTCATCTTTTTTTCTGTCTGGAATGGCATCATCGTGAAATGAGCTGTCCTTCACTTTGTACAGGTCTTTGCTCAAACTTCACTTCCTTAGGTTCGCCCGGACCTTCCTATCTAAATTGATTCCTCCCATTCATCATCCTGAGGCAAGCTCTATTCCTCTGTCCTGCTTAATTGTTCTCCAGAACACTTATTACTACTTGGTATTATATTATAGATTAATCTGCTCATTGCCTCCCACCAAAAACTTTGGATAAATTATTTAATCTTTTGAAGCCTTAGGTATCCTATCTGATAATATCTAATGAGATGTTTTGAATACTATGTCTGGAAAAGGTATAATGCAGTGCCTGGTATATAATAATTGCTGAATACATATTGCATATTGGAATGGATATCTGATCATGCCTAACATTCATTCTGCCTTCTGCTAAGAGCATTCCAGTTTTCTTTGGGCATCCCTCCCTCCCTCCCTTTCAGTTTGTGCGGTTTGGTGACCCCATTCCTTTACCCACCTACCCATCTCCAAATGGGGCACAGACTGAAGGCATATAACCAGGAAATGTTGTTAAAATGCAGAGTCTGATTTAGTTGGTATGGTGTGAGGCCTGAGAGTCTGCATATCTAACAAGCTCCCAGGGGATGCCCCTGATGCTTACGCCAAATTCTTAGTAACACCCAAGACAATCAAAGCATTCCATTTTTCAACCGTACACACCACTGATCATAAATGGGCTCAGGAATGGGGATGTGAACCAGCCAGCCTAATCAAAGTATACTGAGATTTGCTAATTGAAGTTTAAGGTCTCTTTCCTCTGAAATCGCTAGCTATACAGATACTTTACCTGGAGCTTCTTGGGCTACCACATAGAGAATTTCTATGACAGCAATGCCAACACAGAAGTATGATAAACAGATAGAAAGAGAGAGACAGAGAAAAAAAAAAAGACAGAGAGAGCTGAGTTCAAATCAAGAATAAGTCAGCAGACACATATTCATTGTATTCCAGCTATATATATGGCAAATTTTTAAGGCACTCAGAACACATCACCGAACACAAATAAAAGTATCTTCTTCTGTGGAGTTTTAGTGGGGGAAGACATAAATAAACAGCAACACTTTAAAAGGTGAAACATGCTATGACAGAAATAGACTAGGGTAAGGAAGGAAGGCTGCAATAGAAGAAATCCTAATGCATTATTACACATCATTTTCAAAGGCAACTTATAAGAATTGCAAAGTTTTAAGGTAAAGCTTTCGATGCGAATTGCACAAACCTGGAAAGACCTTGACAATGAATAATGAATTAGAAAAAAAAAGAGTATTTTTATTAACTGCAGGTTTGCAGCTTTGATTAATAGGTAAATTATAACACTTAATAGGTAAATGATAACACTTATGGATTGTTATAATTTTTTAAATAACTTGCCTATTCATCATTTAAATATCTACTTTATGGTACTATTAAGTTTAGATACATAGGACATTTATGTTTTAAAATTTTAAATAGTTAATATATTGAAAATCATAATGATCTCCATTAAATTCTTCCCTAGTAGATGCTCAATAAGCCTTATAGTCTGGTTTCCTTATAATCAAGGTGCCTGATGACAGAATAGCCTGATTATAGGCTAAAGCTTAAAATTTTATATATGAGAATATATACTGCAGCATAGCTTAAAGAAAAGGAAAAATGATTTTTCTTCAATAGGGAATGCTTAAGTAAATCAATGGTATATTTATTGGCAAAGTATAATTCATACATTGAAACAATTATGTCTCTATAAGAAATATGGAAAATGTTAACAAAAATATTTTAAATGGTTTATACTGTCATAACTAATTGAAATGAAAACATATGGACACATGCAAAAAAATGAAAATGGACCACCTACTTACACCATATATAAGAACAAATTCAAAATGAATTAAAGACTTAAATATAAGACCTGAAACCATAAAACTCCTAAAAGAAAACATAGGGAGTAAATTTGTAGACATTACCCTGAGTAATACTTTTACTAATATATCCCCTAACTCAAGGAAAATAAAAGAAAAAATAAACATATGGGATTACATCAAACTTAAAAGTTTTTCACAGCAAAGGAAATCATCAATAAAACAAAAAGGCAGCCTACTGAATGGGAGAAGATAGTTGCCAATGATATATCTGATAAGGGGTTAATATCCAAAATTTATAAAACATTCATTCAACTCAACACCAAAAAAACAAACAACTCAATTAAAAAATAGGCAGAGGATATGAAGAGGCATTTCTCTAAAGAGGACATACAGATGGTCAACAGGCATATGAAAAAATGTTCAACTTCACTAATCATTAGAGAAATGTAAATAAAAACCACAATGAGGTGCCATTTCACTCCAGTCAGAATAGCTATCATCAATAAATCAACAAACAACAAGTGCTGGCGACATTGTGGGGAAAAGGGAACCTTGGTGCACTGTTGGTGGGACTGCAGATTGGTGCAGCCATTATGGAAATCAGTATGGAGGTATTTCAAAAAACAAAAATGAAACTACCTTATGACCCAGCAATTCCACTCTTAGGTATCTATCCAGAGAGACCCAAGATGCTAATTCGAAAAAATATATGCACCCCCATGTTCATTGCAGTGCTATTTAAAATAGCCAAGACTTGGAAACAAACAAAATGCCCATCAGTAGATGACTGGGTTAAGTAAGAAGATGTGGTACATTTATACAATGGAGTATTATTCAGCTATAAAGAAGAAGGAAATCTTACCATTTGCAACGATATGGGTGGACCTAGAGAACATTATGCTAAGTGAAATAAGTCAGTCAGAAAAAGACAAATACCATGTGATCTCACTTATATGTGGAATCTAAAAACTGAATAAATGAGTAATGAAACAGAAATAGTCTCAGAGGCACAGAGGAAAAACTGATGGTTGCTAGTGGGGAGGGGGGTGGAGATGAGGGAGAAGGGGAAGGGATTAGACAGCATAAATAGGTCACTACAGCATTGCCACAAGGATATGAAAGACAGTTCGGGGAATACAATTAATAATGCTGTAAATATTTTGTAGGGTGTCAGATGATCACAGGTCTTGTTAGGAAGACCAATTCATAGATGGTGTAGAGGCTTGACGACTGCACTGTACACCTGAATTTAACATCGAATAATACTGTATGTCAATTATAATTTTATATATATATATATATATAGTTATGGGATGTGGAGTATAGTGTGGGGAGTGGAGTCAATGGAATTGGAATAAGTATGTATGATGTCGGGGCTGGGGGGAGTGGGGCAGTAGATTGGCGGAGGGAGGTTGTCACTTTGTGAGGGGTAAATAGTACAATTATTGCACTGTTTTGTACACCTGAAACTAATAAAAAAGAAAGCAAAGAAAACATATGGAACAAAAAAACTCAGTAAAATAAAAATAGCACATTCCCTTTGCTAGCTAAAAAAAAGAGAGCGCTTAATATGTCTCCTATTTTTCTTAAGCACAACAATTAAAACTATATAATTAATCATAAAGTTTTTTATACACAATAATATATTAACAATATACTTGCGTATTTTGGTGAATCAGTATACATAGTTTCAACTAGGATTTTTTTTGTTTTTTGACATTTTCAAAGTTCCCTATAATAGAAAATCATCTTCTTTACTTTGAATAATTATCATCAAGAACTTTATGAGTAAAGATCTGAATTTCTTTCTCCTTAAAAGTAATAATAAATCATTTTTAAACCAACTAGAGTTTATTATAGCCTAGAATACACACACACACACACACACACACACACTATATTTTGTCAGAAGTTTAGTGGATTACTTGGAATACTTTTATTATTCAAAACTATTCTTTTAACACACTATTTAAATTATTACCCATTCTTGATATGCACAAAAATTCCCCAGGCTCATAACCACTCATTAAAAAGTCTGTGTATAGAACTCCATTAACTGGAAGTTGATGGCCCATGCCAGCTAATAATACATAGTGATTATCTGTTGAATTTAGCATTTACTATTTTGACTGCAATTTTATTTAAATGGAATAAAAATGAAATAATGAATTGTAATAAGATCATAGCTTCTGTTGAGGATTATGTCACACAGAAGAAACAAATAGCAGGCAACTTCTCAATTTGTCTGTATGGTCTCCATAGTGAAAAGTTTGGGCAGGGTTTGAGGCTTAATTTTCCAGGTAATTGCCTTAAACTTCAGTTCAATTTGACAATAACAATCTCATGTTGAACTGCTTTGTCCCAGATGAATGAGAATATGGGAAATAAGAAAAGTGAACCTTTGCAATTGCCTTTTAAAATAAAGGTCAATTTGATATCAGTTGAAGCAAACTGACTCTAAAAATCTACAATCGCTAGGAAAAAATTCCAAGTGTGGACCTTCAAGGTAGTGTTTACCATCCTTCAGAAGCTACAGCAGCCAGAATATAAAGTTACCTGCCAACTCACATATTTTATGCAAAATGCAAAGGAAATATTGAGCCAGTGAAACCTCTACTGATCTATCGTGTGCTTTTGTTTTGTTTTCTGTTTTTTATCCCCCATAGTAAGAAAAAATTGCATACAATGTGTATGTTTATACTTTAAAAACTTCTTACAGTTATTTGAGAATTCTATATTCATTGCAGACAATTCTAAAACATAGATAAATAGGAAAGGTAAAATAAAACTCACCTGTAATAGAGTTATGGTAATGATTTTTCTAGATTTTCTATGTATATATAATTATATAGATACAGTTGTCTTGGAAAAATGTATACTGTAATATGCACTTGCAACTTGCTTTCTTTCTAAAACAATGTGTCACATCAATTCAACTCTTCTTTAACTTTGTTTTTAATGCCTCTGTGGCATTTTATTTTATAAGCTGCTAATAACTTATTTAATCAGAGCCCTATAGAGAGACATTCCAGTTGTTTCTAATTTTGGACTTGAGCATCAACAAGCATCTTTATACATTTTTTTATTCCCTTGATTATTTCATTACAATAATATCTATAAGCAATGTAGTTTGATAAATTATATGCTGGTTTAAAGACTTTTAAAAATATTGGGCTGTTGACCTAATTAAAAAATGAGCAGAGGATATGAAGAGACATTTCTCTAAAGAGGACATACAGATGGCCAACAAGCATATGAAAAAATGTTCAACCTCACTAATCAGAGAAATGCAAATAAAAATCACAATGAGATACCAACTCACTCCAGTCAAAATGGCTATCATCAATAAGTCAACAAACAAGCTGGTGAGGTTGTGGGGGAAAGGGAACCCTGGTGCACTGTTGGTGGACTGCAGATTGGTGCAGCCACTATGGAAATCAGTATGGAGGTATCTCAAAAAACTGGAAATGGAACTACCTTATGACCCAGCAATTCCACTCTTAGGTATTTATCCAGAAAAACCCAAGTTACTAATTTGAAAAAAATATATGCACCCCTATGTTTATTGCAGCGCTATTCACAATAGCCAAGGCTTGGAAACAACTGAAATGCCCATTGGTAGATGACTGGATTAAGAAACTATGGTACATTTACACAATGGAGTATTATTCTGCTATAAAGAAGAAGGAAATTGTACCATTTGCAAAGATATGGATGGACCTAGAGAACATTATGCTAAGTGAAATAAGTCAGTCAGAGAAAGACAAATACCATATGATCTCACTTATATGTGGAATCTAAAGAACTGAATAAATGAGAAATGTAAACAGAAATAGTCTCAGAGACACAGAGGAAAAATTGAGGGTTGCTAGTTGAGGGGGTGGGGATGAAGGTGAAGAGGAAGGAACGAGACAATACAAAGTGGTAACTACAATATGGCCTCAGGGATAGAAAAGACAGTCTGGGGAATATAATC